CGTGATTCTGTGCCGTGCTATCAACAGTGTCAACGGCACACGTCTTCCGGCAGACCGACTGCACGCCACGAAAGAGACTCACGTCATCTGAGCGTCTGTACGGTCCTGGGTTCGGTGCACTGCGGAAGACTGCTATATTATTATGGCACTCTGGTGCGTGTGGTACAAAGTGTAGCCACGTGAAGAACACGTGCCGAAATTGCTCTAACGTATGAGCCTGTTAATTGAACAAAAATTTCCTTGGATATTATCCATCGTCTAGTAAATATAAAACGTAAAAAAACGACGTTTCGGAGATGGGACTCTATCTCCGTCTTCAGGTTCCTGCACAGTTGGGCCCACTAGATAGAGCTAATCCCTATCTCCGGACGAAGATAGGGAGATCCGGAGATAGGAATTAGCTCTATCTAGTGGGCCCAACTGAGTAGGAACCTGAAGACGGAGATAGAGTCCCATCTCCGAAACGTCGTTTTTTTACGTTTTATATTTACTAGACGATGGATAATATCCAAGGAAATTTTTATTCAATTGACTCTTCACCATCGTCAAGAAGTTTTAGATTTGATATATGAGCCTGTTATTAATTTATTAAGCATACAATTTGCTTTTTGTAATTTCGAACAATTTCATTATTACCCCCACCCCTTACCCCTTTTCTTTCTTTCGGCAAGGTTCTGTCATTTCTAAAAGGCGTAAACTACTTAAATTCTTTTAATATCGTCTTGTTACGTTCTTGTGGCCAGATAGTAGGGCGTGTTTACTGTTCAACATTTTCTTCGCAAAAGAAAAATATTTCGTGCATTTATATACTTTCTAAAATCGTATTTCATGTTATGTACCTCAGTCAGCCGCTTGACGTCACAACTGTCTTCCACGATGACAAACTTTAATTCGAACCTGTCAGTCCGCGCTCTGATGTGGTCGGTCGGCGAGGAACAGAATCCCCAACTCCTCGTCAATTTTCATGCCACTAACGTACCACGGCGCGTCTGTCGCTGGGCGAAGACACTCGGATCGTGATGCTTGCAGCTTCCGGACGAGGCTACAGACAGCAGACCTCCAGTTCTGCCGTCATAGGACGGATAAGCTGCTAGTAAAGTAGCACGCCATTGATGGCAGAGGGGGCCAAGACCGCCTAATCGTTCTTTCTTATCTAATTGAGGTGTGGCGAGCGTCACCTCAAGATCCCGAGCTGTTTCGATCCAACAAACTGGACTTGTTTTGTGAAAATGGATGCGTCTTGACGCCTTGAAAAAGAGCGGATCTGTGCGTTTTAAGACGTTTTTGGAAATCCTCCAACCCCGTAGCCAGAGCTCCAGTCTACCGAGATGGTCCTCCAGGTAACCGACGAGAACGATGGACTACCGGAAGCGGCTACTAGAGCCGTATCGTCCGCGTACTGCGCTAGCTCGACGTGGCGGGAGGGTGTGGGTACGCCGATCACACACAGACTGAACAGCACAGGCAAGACGAGTCCACCCTGGGTCACTCCTGACCGCACGCCACGACATTTGGAGACGTTCGGCAGTCAAATACGTCGATAAGGTTTTCCCGAAGTAAGAGGATAAGTTTAGGGCGTTTACCTTGCAAAAGAGGCCTTTGACCCACAACGGCAGGAAAACAGCGCCGGTACTCCGTTCTCCGCGATATACCTTAAAGAAATAAGAAAACTTACAGCTGCTTTTGAAAGCCGATTCAGTAATTTAGAGTTAGACAAATACAACAAAATTTTTGAAATATATTCATCTCCCTTTCATGTTAAAATCGAGTCGGCCCCAGAATATCTCCAAATGGAACTGGTTGACTTACAGTGCAATATTGAATTAAAACACATTTTTGAAACATCAGAATCAAAAATAGATTTTTATAACACTTACGTCACAAAAGAGAAATTTTCCAATTTGAGAAATCTGGCACAAAAAGTTGTTAGCGCTTTTGGTTCAACTTACACCTGCGAATCGTTTTTTTCGAAAATGAAATTGACCAAACACAAAACACGCTCAAACATAATGGACGCTAACCTGCAACACCAATTACGATGTGCAAATACCCAAATTGAGATCGATTTGCAAAAGCTAAGTGAAAGAGTGGAGAAACAAATATCGCACTAGTAAAATAAATATTTTTTAATGATTTCATTATTTTTATTTCATTCATATTTATATATTTTTTATATTTAATTTTTAGTGCTATATATTTCTTTACAATGTATGCTTAGTATCATTATTATTATATTATCTATGTTTACATGTAAGAATAATAGTAAACACAATAATAATAACTCATTATGTTTCAATTTTTCACTCCAAAAAAATGTCTATAGTGTATCTAAATCTAATATGGGGATATTTAATTTTATATGTGGCCCGCGGAGTTATGATGCATTTCCAAAGTGGCCCGAAAGATCATTTGGGTTGGCCACCCCTGGTTTAGATAAAAGCCGTCAGATGGTCTACTTCCGGTGGCGCCACCTCCAGCAATACGAAATTCTCTTCCGTGTCCGGCCACTGGCCTCACTCGTTTGGACCAGAGACACCGTCATGTGCACTCTGTTGCCGGCCAACATAAAAATGACAATTTTATACGTTTAATGTTTTCGTATACGCGGAAAATTCGAGGAACGCAACACCCGCGCATAATGAGACTCACCCACACAAGAAGTGAGCATGCATCCAAAGCGAAGAAAGCCATTGGGGGAAAGCCTTAGACGGGAAGATAATATTAAAATGGTTGTTACATAAGCAGTGTTCCAGGGTGTAAGTTGGATTCATCTGGCTCTGCAAGGGCACGTACGCCTATTCATTTATTAGTCAACTATAAATTCTATCCTAACCTAACCCTGCTCATCAGAAGCTGCAGGCGATATTAAACGTCGTGGTTAAATGGTTTGTATTGGGGAGATCCCGGGTTCGGATATTTGCCTGCCCGAGGTTTTATCTTCATCTCTGGTACTGAGATGGATTTCGACCAAATGCGTTCGAGGTCATCAATCACGGTCAATTGCCATTAGACGGTGAATCACAAATTCATGTGTAAAGCATCGTAAATAACTCAAGAATTTTCGATTAATTCTTTTGCAGAAGTTGAGGGTCGGTAAGCCTTAGCAAAATTCATTAAGCGCCAGACCCGATGAAAGGGCATTTCGACGTAGGCAAATTTCGGTAATTAATTGAACGCTTAAAGATGAAGGAGCAGTGTCCGTAAGCCGGTCACAATAGGAACAGGTACGGGCCGAGACGGCCCTTTCTAGTAGGTCAGCGCGAGGAGAGAGTGATCGGAAATCGAAAATTGGTCACGGAAAGCAATTTGCAACAGCAAGGGAAAACAGCACTGCCCCACTGCCATCTGTAGGAAGGAGGTGAAACAGAATACTGCGGATTCTACTGATGTTCGGTCACAGCCATCCACGCCGTTTCAACTGACGAAACTGACTGAATTAACACATCATAAACCCACCCCCCACCCCCAAAAAGGAACATCACGTTCGAGTGCTTTCCTATACAAGCGGTCCCCGCTTCAAAACTGACCAGCAGACCTGCTATCCTAGATGGGTGCGGCATGTAGCACGCATGGATGGGACAAGAGGTGTGCACCGGGTATTGGTTGGGAATCCTGAGGGGAAGAGACCGCTGGGGAGACCTTAGACGTAGATGGGAGGATAATGTCAGGCGGGATCTATGGGAGATAGGAGTTGAAGGAGACTGGATTCTGTTGGCCCAGGACAGGGTCCGGTGGAGGGCTTTGGTTAATTCGGTGATGAACCTTCGGGTTCGGTAAGCCATCTAGTTAGTTAGACCTGCTATCCTGAATGAGACGTTTTGTCATGTTGTTGTTTTCCTCGTCGACGGAAATGCAAAGACACATCCACCTCCTTCCTCACTCATTCCACTTCATTATTCATCAATGTCATCTGAGCTTCTGACAACGACGGTCACTGAAGCTGAATTTACTGTCGATAAATACGTTTCGAAGTGCCACATTCTCTGACTCCGTTTACCTCATACACTTCGCATCTAAAGGCTTGGGGAACTTGAAGCAGTTTGCTCGTTATCGACTACGAAGTTGATTCCAGATGCGAATGGTTATTAAAACCATCACAGGAAGTTACTGGAAATGGAAAGAAAAGTTCCATCGACCTTCACGATATGAAATTTCCAGCAAATTCGAATGTGCAGCTGACGGATGGGACTGGGGAAGTGAGATTTGAGGTTCTGAAGGCGGTGAAGATGTCCATATTGTTCTGGGTAGCGTCGGCGCGTGGACTCGTAGGTGGGCATCAGCGTCTGAGAAACACAGTTTCCGCCTTCAGCTTCGAAAGCAAAGCAAGTTCCTCTGAGGAATTAGTATCGATCTCTGCCTGTCCGCACGGCGTCACAACTCAGATCAGCGTCGGCTGCTCGTGAAATTAAGAAGTCGGACGCGTCTCAGTGACAACCACTTGGACAAATGGACGCCAGTCGCAACAACAAAAGTTTTGTCTGGCGTCGAAAGACTAATCAGGCAAAAGGCGTTTGAATTGAAGTGTTCACTTAAATGAGCAACTGCACGACAAGGACGTGAAGTGTTTGATCTCTTTGATTAAGAATTGAGGGATATTTCTGAAGAGTTTCTTACCATCTTTTACGTTTTTAGCCTGTCACCTGTATTCAGGATTCCTCAAGTTCTGGAAGAGTGGAATTGCGTACAGGGGAAGATTCAGAACTAATCCTGAATTTCCTCCGTTTCTCATTTTGCATTGAATCAAAATTAATGACAAGTTGGAAAATGGAATTAAGTCCTGAAAAGACATTAACATTTTTACAAGCGTCTGAACGCGAATTGAAAGCGTTTCCAACTTTTCTTGTGGTGTTTCACGTCGTTAAATTCAGGGGTGTAATGCCACGTAAAGGAAACGAGGAGACAGAAACGCGAGGGCAGACAGCAGGAAATGCGCACATGCGGCCAATGGGGCCAACCCGTGAAGTCGACAACGGCTAGCTTAAGAAGGGTGAGATGCTTACGTGTTCTGTAGAATGGAGGTGGCCTTCTGTCTGCTGGTTTCTCGGCCGGGTGTCTTGATCGACGCGTCTCTTGCCGGGGCAGGAACCGCTTTCTTTTCCTCTGAGGACGCCGCAGGTAAGACACGGCGCGTGACTGGAGGAGGAGCGGCGGAGGGCCGCGGCGGAGTCGGCAGGCTCTCCTGGAATGACACTGGGAGAGGAAGAAATTCCTGACAGAAGGCGCAAGAATGCGGTGCGGTTTGCATCGACGAGGATGCCAGTGTGACAGTCACATTCTGTTAACGACGCCCTGTCTGGAGCGAGCGTTACACCACGGGAAAATTCTTACGTACGGCGAGTGCGCGCGTCTGTCAACTTAAAAAGTGCCAACAGGACACCCGATTATCAGATAATGGTTCGAACTCAGAACCCACCGAACAGTGTGTTAATCCTACAACAACTAAGCAGTTACTGGACAGCTTGAGCAGTGTTACCACTACACCAAGAGAAACAACTCAGCCGACATGACCACAGTGTTCCCAACGCAACAGCAGACCAGCACGAGGCGTAAGTTGCCAGACTTTCGTACGTGGCTGCTTCTCCACAGACAGAAAACTTCAGGCCGTGGCTTAACTCACTCGAACGCACGCGGTGTTACCGGAAAACCGATGCAAAAGGCCAAGAAGGGGGAAGTCTTGGTATGGCTGGTCCTGTAAGCCAGAGAAGGACAAGCCGACTAGGACGCCGTTGCGCAGATTTCCCGTGGAGATCGCGACATACAAAATCTTGCACACGTGCGGCAGGTAGAAAGCCGAAGTGTTCTGTGAGAAAATCCCACTGCAGGAAATTACATGACATTGCACGGAGTTGTGAGTTCTCCCAGAAAAGAAAAACATTTGCGACGATCTGCATGGAGGCAGAGCGGATACGACGAGAATGCGACACACGCGAACCTAAGAAAGAATTTCAGCCTGTAGCCGTAGGCCGCCAGGTATTTAAAGTTTCCCATTGCTTTATCCAATTCTGTACCTAGAACCAGGTTGACCTCCAGACAGTCCGGAACGAACGAACTATAGGAAAGGCATTTGGTTCGTCGATCAGGCGAGTCGTTGAAAACGCAAAGTCCTAATGAATATTCCGTGGAACAGTGGCGACATCTCCGATGGCCTCTTCACACAGAACACAAAGTTATAAAATATGAAGGCTCCTGCCTCGGTGCAGGCTAGGTCGGATCAAGACAGGTTCGGTGCATTGAAGAACACAGGGCAGCTGAGGGGAATGTCGTAGACAGCGAGAATTCTGCAAAGCGCACCCTTACATAAATTAAAGCTAAATTCCATGCGGAGGAAATTAAGTCAGCATGAGGGTGGACGACCCGTCGAACCCGCCAAATACTGGGATGGTCAACGAGGCGATGCGCGCATACGAGTACCCCCCACCCGCAAGTGAACAGAGACTAACCAGACCCTCGGAGGTCCTACAGGCCATCAAAAGCCTCAAGGCGCCGGGCCCAAACGGTGTTCCGAACAGAGTCCTCAGCGTCCTCGGCCTGTCCCGAGCCTTCTGTTCGCCGTCTAGCGGCCTTTGCTGGTAATTTAGAGATTACACGGTAAGAGATGAGCTAAATCAGACAAGTCAGAAATTTTACACGTGGCGTAACAGTTCTGACGCCCTATCGCATGCAGCACATCAGTGTTGTCCGATCTTGACAAAAATTGGAATCTTTCAAATTTTATCAAAACTCTTCAGAATCAAATTTCATAAAAATCCATTCTGTTCTCGAGTCGTTTTGAGAAGACGAAGGGAGGGAGGGACGGACATATGTGGCGAAGTTGCTTGCCGCTTATTTGCGGCTTCGTTACGAACTCGCCTGGAATTTCAGGACTCGATAAGACGAGGGTGAGCAGGGGATCACAGCGTACGTACCACGTGCGTGTTCGACGTACTGACATCGATAACTCCTGGTTAGTACTGACGACTGCAGCCATTCCTATCAGTGCAAAGCGCACTCCATTAATTAAATCTGATATCACAAACAACCGAACTGGGCCCCTGACAGTCACGTGCCGATTACACGTGATCAGTACTGAAAGGTACCAGAGTCACTAATCACTAGCCCATTAATCCGTGGTACAAATTGCTAACTGAAGAGAGTTCATTTGGAGATGACGACGGATCGCGGCTTCCCTGAAGCCACTGCTTCTGCGATACAATCATCGTTTTGTCTGGTACCAACTCTCCTACATTCCTCGCAATTGAAGCGACATCCGGGGGTGAGAGCCTGCTTCTTTAACGACGCACTTAATCCCTGTTAGACTAAGCAGCAATAAGCAGGGAGGGATGTGACAAGTAGGCACAATTCAGTGTTCTTCATTACGCACCATCAAAAGGAAGTGACGTCACTACGGCTTTCAAGCTGTTTTGTGACATCTTATATCCGCGTGAAGCCCTATCCAGAAGAATCTAAAAGAATCCATGCTTTGGGGCTACCAGTTATTTTCCTGGGACTGTGTGGACATGACGAGTTCCCTTCTTGCAAATCACAACGCAGCAAGACGTTCATTTTGAGGTGTCCCAGTGTCGATGTCGTCTTGTCTTTCGCGATTCTGTGAACGTGTTGAATCCAAATGCGTTTTATAAATAATTTTAAATGTTGTTCAATATACGTTCTACTTTTAATCATGTTTACTTTTACAGTCCACCAAAGAGTGTTTCGCTATTCTCGTTAAGTTAATTTCACCTGCCGTAATTCTGACGTATTTTCCTTTCAAGTGTCAGCACTTTTTAACTCCCATATAAAAACGTCAGTTCAACCAGAGTATTATATACTTTCTTCTGTATCCTGTCGCCTTCATACAACAATGAACAATGAGAAAGCCGACATTGTTGACTCGTGTAACTTTCCTTATAACTGTTCTTCTTGTTATGGACTCCCGCCCATAAAATGTTTTTTTTTTAACTTTTGTCTTACAATTGTCGTTCTTTACAGCCCACTAACTTTATCAGCACATGTCTGCTGAGTACTTCTTGAATCACGCATATTTAAAACGTTCGTGATTACGGAAATCTTTGACATACTCCACGGTTAAAGGTTTTTAAATGCAGATAATCTTCAAATAAATTTAACTTTCGTTTCATTGTCGTTGGGTGCAATAATTAACATGCGAAACTTTTGTCTCTCATTGTGTACAACAATGTGGGTTTCAGTACATTTTAAAATGCTTCTTTCTTTCTTTCTTATTATTCTATAGTTTTAAAAATTATGTGAATTTAAATGCGTGATTGTTTCAATAAAAACAATTCTAGACATGAACAATTAAAAATGAATATGCTCTTAAGAAGAGAAACATTTCGCTGTTTCTGTACATTGCGATCTTGAAGTGAGTACAGGCCCACAGTTTCATTGTTGCCTGGGTCTTGGTTACATGCCTCAGATGAAAACAACAATTCTGGAGCGCAGACTCACTCAATTTCTGAATGACATTTTTTATACTCACTCACTCGCTCACTTAAACAGACAGACAGACACACGGCAGAATGGACTACGAATCATGGAGAATCACATTCGGTGGGCAAAGAAAAACTATTTTGTTATAAACTTGAGATTCCAATGCAACATCGAATGTACTGTTTTAACATCATTATGCAATTGTCAGTTCGTTTCGAGGCCTCAATTCCCACGCAATGAACAATCGTCTGAGAAAGTCATTAATGACCGCGCCCTGCATTAGAAATGACCGTGTGTCTGGGTCACTGATCCATTTAGTTCCAGGCCCGGAAATCACATGATCCGGCAGAAATCTTCTCTGGGAAGCAAAAGTCATTTTCTGCTGACATTAACACAGGCGGTAATACCAGCATCATTCTTCATGACCATAGGTCTTGAGAAAATGTGACTGGTAGCATAACCTGCAGGTCCAACACCAAAGCCCGCCACCGTACGCGAAAGTGAGCCAACTTCGGGATGTCGGCTGTGAGAAAATGTGGCTATTCAGGTAAAATTCTGGGTGGCTGAACTGTAACCGTCCAGATATTAGAGTCCTGTGGAGTAACGCTGCAAGGGCGAGCTGGCCGAAATTCTTTAAAACCAAAGGTTCGGCTGTGTTAAGTGAGAAAGTAGGGGAGGACTCACATGTGGTCTCTTAGGGGTGTGAGCGAGTGGTAGTCGGAAAGTGTGTACAGTCTTGGAAAGTTTCTTGACAGTAGAGGTTAAGATTTTATAAAGTTATGTAGCGAAGAAAATACATAATAAAAGTATAATTAGATCAACAGTTAATCATTATCTGTTCGTCATTCACTCGATCCCCGTGAACGACCCTGAGTCCCTGGCTAGCCGAGGCAAACAACTAACCAAGGACGGTTATAGAAATTGGCGCTTCAACCTGGGGCACGATATTGATCGGAATAAACCCAGAACAAGACGGACGGAGCAGGGAGTATCATCATTTATACAGCATTCCACCCGGA